ATTTTTAGTAATAAATAATAACCCAGACTAAAGTTAGGATAATATAATTGACATTTCTAGATTCCTTGCAGGTCAGGGAATATTTTGAATGTAAACTTCATATATTTTGCACAAACGATAAAATATTTGCTTTGTGTAAACCAAATTATTACATTAGATCTAAAATTTGTATGTCAAATGCAAAATCCATGATGTTTATATTCAAAATGATCATCATATTGTAAGAATTCCAGCAATGTAAATTATATTCTGGCAGGGTAATTTGTATGAATTTTATGAGCTAAATAAAAAAAAAATTATACTTCACCTCGTATATGAGTAGATGCACCGTGGAAAGTGAAAGTCCGGTTCTGGCAAGGTACCGTGTAAATGAGAAATCTTTTCTCGTGGAAAGTGAAACCGTGTAAAGCAGGGTAATACTGTAATTGCTTTTGCCATTCGTAAACTTAATGATGCCGAAACACGCTCGATAACGCATTTAGGGATGTTAGCTGCTGTTTGGGCACTGGATAAGTTTAAAGACTTTTTTTAAAATGTTTTTACAGATCATGTGGCAGTAACAGAACTGTTCCATGGCAAAAAATTTTTCAGGCAGATTAGCACACTGGTATCTGACCCCAAGTTCAAGTATTTACCGGGAAGAGTGAATGTGGTCGCCGACGCTTTGTCCAGAAACATAGCACCAATGATGCCTGTATCTTCGTTCATTCTCTCGCAATTAGAGGATGAACAACGACGTGATCCATTGTAGTCTGCAGTCATTTTTGCTCTTGAGTCGGGGGAGGAAGTTAGTCTTCCAAAGTTAACACACTGTTTACTCTGGATAAACCAACTGAAATTTTGCTTATTAGTGAAGATTACTCTTTGTTAGCATTGGATGATCCTAGGGTGCTATCACGGTGTAAATCATCATATTTACATTTACACGTATGTCCAGCCTATGTATTCACATTTATTCCTGCGATCAACCAAACTAACGTACGCACAGAGCTAGCACTCCTCACAGGTGGAAGTACGTGGATGACTGCACTGTGGGAGTTTCAGTGGATAACACCGCACCAGACTACTCATCGCTACAAGGCACCCTGGACAGGCTACAGGCATGGACCACGGAGAACAAGGTCACCATCAACCACACCAAAACCGTAGTCATGCACATCAATACCGCCACCACTCCAGTGCAAGCCCCAGCAGTCACAGTGGGTGCCCATCTTCTCCAGCTGGTGCAGTCTGCCAAACTCCTGGGTGTAACCATAGACAACAAACTTGACTGGAAGGCCCATGTAAATAACACAGTCAAGGCAGCCTCGTTTCGTCTCTACATGCTACGACGACTTAAGTCACTTGGGACCATCTACAACGCCTTTATTCTCCCCAAACTAACGTATGCGTCACCAGCCTGGTCGTCTTCTCTCAACTCCACCCAACAACGTCAGCTAGAGAAGGTACAGAAAAGGGCCTGCAGAATCATGCTCTCCGCAGAATACTCCGGCTACACCAACGCTCTCTCCACCCTGGAAATGCCATCCCTCAGTGACCTCCACCACCAAGCACTGGAAAGGTTTGGCAGTGGACTACTGCACCACCCTCGTCATCGCCACCTCCTGCCACCTGCAGCCCCCCACCCAACTCACGCAGTCCGCCACTACAACAAAATTCAGCCCATAAGAATAGCACCATCCCATCTATTGTTAAAATAATAAACAACTCCTGATTTATGTACTGTACAACCCTGTAAATGTATTCAATGCATATTATATCATTATATCTAAATCAAATGTAAGTCTGTATATTTTCAGCCACCGGCTGCAACTCTATTAATAAACCGTTTATTATTATTATTATTATTATTATTATTATTATTATTATTATTATTATGTAGTTATAGGCCGATTTCTAGGAATACTGTTTCAAGCGCTTGTGCATAATGTGCAGTATTTTTCTTTCCTGGTGAAACTAACTTAACTTTATCGTGCCAAGATGGTGACAAACAGTTAGTTGGGAAAGCTTATTATAAGGCTCCGGATTACTATGAAATAACCTGTAGTTCGCTGAAGACCTTGCCTTCTCATCAGCATTTTGCATTGAATTTAAATCTTACTTCAGGTTTGATTCCATTGTTTCAAACTCCTAATTTGACTACAGGGAGTATTAGTAAATTCAATATTGTCTCAGAGAAGTTAAAAGTTATTTCTTTCTTGAAAGAGTCACAGTTTACAAATTTTGAAGATCATTTGCCATTTTATTTTGCACGGGGACTTGCTATACCAAGTTTAACTATTCCCACTATTATGTTAATTCTGGCAGTGATATTTTTGTTTTGTTACTATAAGTCAGTATCTTCCAAGTTTGTCATTGTACATAATAAACTTTCCCATAAGACACTTCAGTCTAGGACTCCAGTAATTAGTGAACCTATGGTTCCAGTTTTTCCAGTTTAGTGTCGACACATATTTGTAACATGGGTAGGTACAGTCACAATCCAAAGTTCGACACCCCCCTGGCTGGGTGTTCGCCGAGGCCAGGGTTGAGGTAAGGCTGGGTGATCGGACGCAGACATTCCACCACCACAACACTCCGAGACTCACAGCACACGAGCATGGAAGGAAATTTTTACGAATTTTGACTTGACATGCAGCTGCATAAAAAAATTTCATTCATAGCATTGTTGGCACACATAACAATAGCAATAGCAAGTAATATTGGTGACCTCTGTGCCATAACTCTCATAATCCGAGACATTATGAAGTGAAATTTAAAAACTAGAAACGGCAGTAGATCGGAAACAAGGCAAGTGACCAAGAAGTAGTCACTAATGATGCCACACGGCCAGGCATCTACTCTTGAGGGTCGAGGTCGTCTGCAAAGTCGCTGCTCCAGACCAGACAAAAATTGTTTGGGTGACACCATGATTAATGTGAATTGCAACATTCCAAGCCAAAATACTCCAATGTAGTTATTGATACACCATTAAATATTGTAAACATGACTATATGAATTTCTAGTATGTGTGAAACCAAAATATTCCCAGGGTTATGGTATAGGCCCCACCTTGTCGACTGGCCGTTCACTCCCTCTTGACGAAATTCGGCCGCCGGCCACCCTTTATATATGCTGCCCTGATGATTCATGTGTAATGCGAGGACTCGCATCTTGTGGTTCCAAGCCAGTGTTTTTGGGACGGCAAAGTTTTTCATGCTTTAATCTTAACATGCTATTGTTATGTGGCAACAATGTTATGAATGCATTTGTTATGCAAGTTTATGCCATGTCAAAGTTCGTAATAAGTTCCTTCCTGTGCTCTTGTGCTATGAGTCTCGGAGTGTTGTGGTGGTGGAATGTGAACCTCACCAATGTAGTGCCTCGTTACCACATTGCTGAACTAGTCTGCGTCCGGTCACCCAGCCTTACCTCAACCCTGGCCTCGGCGAATACCCAGCCAGGGGGGGGGGTGTCGAAACTTTAGATTGTGACTGTACATGTATAGGATGTATTCTGCGGGATTAGTTAATTCCTCATGGAAGCTCGGAAGGTGGTGACCGAGCGATGCATGAGGCCCTTAGTTTTTATATAAATGTGGAGCTGTACATTAAGCTTATATAATCATATCACCCATTGTAACTTTCCACTGGCTATGAGGTGACATGGTCACATCACGTGAGGGGTAGGTTCCACCCTTAAGGCGTGGCCCTAAAATGTTAGGTAGCCAATAGAAACCGGCTAGTGAGTCAGATCACTCCCACATCAATCGAAAGTATTTAGCAGAGCTACTGTAAGATAGCATCTGTCCTCATTAAACACTCAAAGTATTAATGAGAGTGAATTTGAAGTGGAACTCCCTCCCCCCACCTCCCATAACTGCCTTTATCTCATTCGGTCCCTGTCTCCTTGCACCTGTGTCAGCCATCTGTATCACTCTGTACTGCTAAAACATCTGTGGATAAATGATTACAAAAACCTATGGGGGTTTCACATCAAATTCTCTCTCATTAATATAACATCTTAAATGTATTGTAACATGGAAACTATGCAGAATCTGACATTTTACCATAGAGACATTTTAGTTTAGAATTATCCAAGGATTTCATCATCCAATTTAATGTACTCTTTGCTGAATCACTCTGTATATATTTATTTTTTATTTTTATTAATTTATTTTTATTGATTTATTTTTTTTAACATTAAAATACAAGAATCTGGAAAAATCCTGGTAACAGAACTGTACTAGAAACGAAAGTATAAATGATGATACAAAGTTGTTAAAGCTGAGTTTCTAAAAAGATTTTGATTTATAAGGTTTAAGATCATTGACAATTGAGGCTGAGGTTATTACAATTATGAAGTAACTTGTTAGGAAATGGTAGCCCTCCAGATGCTTCAACTTACCTATTTCAATTGTATGGGAGGTAAAGAGACTTCTATTTTACTCCCATCTCACAAAATATTTCTTGAGTGTGAACGTGTTCATAATTATTGCTAATTAAAAAAAAATCTCCTTGATTCTCTTTTGTAAATTTCCTTCCAGATCATTGCTTTTCCTCCTTAGTTGATAATAGTTAAGATAATAGTATCTCTTTCAAAAGCTAGCAGATCAGGAACACTGATCAAGTCTAGCTTTAAAGGCACTTATTAAGGGAGCAGAAACTATGTTCTCAGGTAGGTCGTTCCAGGGGTTCACTACCCTCACTAAAGGAGGGAAGGGAAAAAGAACATGCGCTTAGTGGTTGTTGATAGTGGAGCTAAATTACATTTTATTTTGATTTAATGCTCTTAATTTTTCTTTTAAGTACTGCACTGTCCTGTACTGTAGAAAAGAAAAAGTGTCTCTAAAACCTTTGTAAGAAAAATACTAACCCAGCATTAGGAATCTTCCTTTTTACAACAAAGGTTTCAAAATTTAGTGGTCTATTTTTTTTCTTAAATGATCATAGTATATAGGTAGTTTTTTCTAACTTTAATAGTTCAATAAAAGAATCTTATTATTTTTCATTTGTCCACAGTACGAGGATGTCGACCAGGGAAGAGCGTACAGATGACAGAAGCAGAAGTTCGGGGACTTTGCCTCAAGTCACGGGAAATTTTTTTACAGCAGCCCATCCTCCTTGAACTAGAAGCTCCTCTAAAAATCTGTGGTAACACTTTTACTAGCAAAGTTTTGGTGTAGTGACCTGTGGAGTGTAACCAACCACTTGCAGGCCAGATCTATCCCTTAAGTTTATATCTGCAGTCTGTCATGAGCTATTTTAGAGCCAACTTGTATATATACCGCATGATACTGTATTGAGTATCACTGATCAACTGGTTCATAAGTTCTTACCTCCAGCACATGTTAAGATTTATTAAGGGCCCTCATAAAAAAAAGGTGTTACATTTCTGATGAAGTGTCCCAATGATCATATACATACTGTATACAGCACAGGAAGTACTGTACTTAAGATTTTGTTAAAAACTTATGAGGTTTAGTGAGTTTAAGCTCAGACTGGAAGATACATTACATGAAATAGGAACTGTACAGTATTTAAATAACAATATTTACCTGTTAAAATTGTTTCTGCTTATCATTGAACAGTAAACACATTGTTGATTTCATATAATAAAGGAATGAAGGAAATTTAGACATTTTCATTATTTGATATCATGATTGATTTGAAACACAAGCCCTTCAAGGAGAAAGTTCTAAATTTACTTTTGTATTTGTAGTAAGAAAACTGTTTGTGTTGGAGGTCAATTCATGTGTTACAAGTTGCTGGGCAAACCTTGCTGGGGTACAATGTGGCTTCAGTTGTGGTAAAAGATAGATAATAGGGAAGTAAATAACATGTTGATTGCTATGAATAAAGGTTGTACTGTACTGTATAGGAAGGCCTTTATGAGGCAGTCATTGTACTCTATTGCAAAGTAAAAGGCGACGAAGTTGAATATAAAGGTGTAGGGGTTAGTAAATAAGAGTTAGTTTTTACAAGTACAGTACAGTAAATGAAGAAAATTATAACAAAATTAATAAGAATAGTACAGTACAGTATTAGGTCTTTCAACAATTATATAGTAAATATTGTTATATGTTAGTTAATTGTCAGGAAAGTTGTTCTGCATATGTGTGTGCTTATAAGGTGAGGAAGTAACACGTAATTGTTACTTTTAGGTGCAGTATTATGAGATTGCTGACTTAAACCTTTTCCTCAGGTGATATTCACGGCCAGTACACAGACCTTCTGCGGCTGTTTGAGTATGGCAGCTTTCCCCCAGAATCCAACTACCTATTCCTTGGTGATTATGTAGATCGTGGCAAGCAGTCATTAGAAACCATATGCCTATTACTGGCATACAAGATTAAGTATCCGGAAAATTTCTTCCTCTTACGGGGCAACCATGAGTGTGCATCAATCAACAGAATCTACGGTTTCTTTGATGAATGTGAGTCTCCTAAAACTAAGTACATAAGTATTTAATTAATTAATTCTTTTGCTGCAAAATGTTATTTACTAGCAGTTTTTGTTGTGTTAGAGATAGAAGGTTAAAAGGTTGGGTTCTGTTATTTGCAAGACAACATATGAGTGACTGATTTTTTTGCACCATGTACTTAGTTATTTAAGCAGATTTTTAAATTTAAATGCACTCAGTCTCACACACACATATGTATAGGTACAGCCTTTATATCTAAGATGGAATTATGTAAAGCATTTCAGAATCACAGTCTCTTTGAAACTCATTTAGGTACAGTGAGTTATGCTATAACTCGTGTTTTGATAACGCGAATTGGCTCTAACGCAATTTATGAATAGAGGAACGATATTTGTATAATGCGAACGCTTGTTTGCTGTAACGCGATTTTTGCTTACTATTTCTCCAATTTTGTGGTATTAACTGTGAATATGGTAAAGAAGAATATCTCCAAGAAGCGTTCTGGTGATCGCATTCCCGGTGATGATCGTAAAAGAAAGGCTATAACCATTGAAGAGAAGCTCGATGTTATCAACCTCAAAATCACCCTTCCCCCCCATCATGTTATATTCATATTTTTTCAAGGTAAAGTGTTACATTTACTGTATGATTTCACTATTAGATATGAATGTAACATTTATTTAGACTGTGCTATCCTTTGTGTTAGGCTAACTACTAAATTTTTTTCGATTTCGAGTAATCTGCACCTAACATTATTTTCTCCATAAGCCCTGTTATTTTTATTATGCAAATTTCTATAACACGATGTTTTACAAGAACACAACTATCGCGTTATAGCAGAACTGACTGTACATGGTACAAGTATATGCAAAGAGCAACTGACGTTAATGGGAAGACCCAAGCTTTTGCAAGGAAAGGTGGGGGAGAATAGAGGGGATTCGATGGGGTAGGGGTGGATAAAAAGGTAGGCTATGTGAGGTGGGTGGTCAAGGTATTAATGGATATAAGACGATAAAGGGAAAGTCTGCTGTCTTGGCCACAGCCACCTGATGTCACCTCACCTCACGAGACCTTTAGATATATGACTGCGTGGTGTCTCCCCACACCTTACCCTTCAAGGTTCCACGTACACAACTCTTTTACTATGGTTAATACTTAATTAATTAATTAATTAAAAAATATATTATTAGTTACGTGTAACGAGTAACGATTTTTGTTTTTTCAATTGTATTGGAGTAATAGTATTAGAAAACCATACTTAAGTAAAGGTACAGGTTGTACCTCTCTAGTCCGGCAACCTCGGGACCTGACCGGTGCCGGACCATGGAAATTCACCCTTTTCCTGGTTAGATAGTGACTTGTGCTTATGCCTGGAAGCACTAGCACCACTTTCTCTGCGTCATGGTCTCTTTGAAGACATATTGAAGGGTTAAATGTCGTATAGTAGCATCTCAAATTTCGCGAGTTTTTAATTCTTAACGTATTTTATTGGAACACACAAAAAAATAAATAAATAAAAATTTTGACGGCGGAAACTTGAATTTCGACGGGTTTGAACGGCCCGCCAACGTGCAGACGACGGGCATAATCGTGTAAACAGGGTCATTTCTCTTATGTACAAAAGATTCATTATTGTTTATTACTGAATGTCTTTTTTATTGAATTAATGTTTATATGTGCAAAATGAGCAATACAATTCATTAATAATACGTAGAACATTAAAACACATGAGGAAATGACACAGCATTGTTTTCGTTGATTACAAAACCAGTGACTGACTGGTTCTACATATAAAACTGAAGAAAATAAGACCTTGGTTGTAGCTGTAGTAAAATTAATATGGTTGTTTTAAGTAATGTTATTTAATGTTAATAAATGGAACAATAGAAGTACAGGTTGTACCTCTCTAGTCCGGCATTCTGTGGTCCGGAAACTCCCGTGGTCCGGATCGATTCTAGTTTGTCCAATAGGTAGGTAGGCAGCTTCTTTTTTTTTTTTATCTGAATTATTATTATTATTACAGGAGTATTAAATTTTTGCCCCTCAGGCCCCAATGTGGGTCAGTGACCTATGCCTGGGTGGGCTAATCCCCTTAAAAAAAAACCCGCGGAAATTAAGGTTTGTTTACATCCGGCAGTTTGGCTGCTCTCTCTCTCTCTCTCTGCTTGTCTATACAGAGTACAACATTTAACCCTTCAATATATATGAGCAGTAAATAAGTGTTGCTTTCATATTCTTATGTAAAGTAATGACAATATGTTTTCACGTGTGCACACTTACATACGCTCTCTCTTTTTTCTTTACCATTAATGTTAGCTACTTCTATTGTTCCATTTATTAACATTAAATAACATTACTTAAAACAACCATATTAATTTTACTTCAGCTACAACCAAGGTCTTATGTTCTTCAGTTTTATATGTAGAACCAGTCAGCCACTGGTTTTGTAATCAACGAAAACAATGCTGTGTCATTTCCTCGTGTGATTTAATATTCTACGTATTATTAATGAATTGTATTGCTCATTTTGCACACATAAACATTAATTCAATAAAAAAGATATTCAGTAATAAACAATAATGAATCTTTTGTACATAAGAGAAATGACGCTGTTTACACGATTATGCACGTCATCTGCACGTTGGCGGGCCGTTCAAACCCGTCGAAATTCAACTTTCTGCGGTCAAAATTTTTTTTTTTTGTGTGTGTGTGTGTTCCAATAAAATACGTTGAATTAAAAACTCGCGAAATTTGAGAAGCTACTATACGACATTAAACCCTTCAATATGTCTTCAAAGAGACCATGATGCAGAGAAAGTGGTGCTAGTGCTTCCAAGCATAAGCAAAAGTCACTATCTATCCAGGAAAAGGGTGAATTTCCATGGTCCGGCACCGGTCAGGTCCCGAGGTTGCCAGACTAGAGAGGTACAACCTGTATATTGTTTCTCTACTTTTGGATCGCTCTTTCTGCCTTGTATTTCTTTTATGGTCGGTATTATTATTATTATTATTATATATATATATTATTATTATTATTATTATTATTTTATTTTTATTTTTTATTTTCAATTTATCCTACTATGTACTGTACAGTGGTCCCTCGGTTAATGAACACAATTCGTTCCACAGAGTCGTTCGTTAACCGAAAATTTCGTTAACCGAATCCATTATTTCAATGGGATATTGGGTAATTGGTTCCAGCTCACAGAAAAGTACATACAAAACAAAATGCAATTCAAAGTACACACCCTTTGGAGAGCTGTGCTGTAGAAGGTTGCTGGCTGATGATGATGTTGGGGAATTAGAAGTGGAGGGAGAGAAGGAGAAGAGAAGCATTTAATGCTTCTGGAAGGCAGATTCTCCGAAGAGGAACACTGACGGGAAGCATCTTTCTCACGCTGCCTTTTAGAGAAGAAACTGTCAATTTTTCGTTGTGGGGCATTTCTCCTCCTGATCATTAGCTGGTTCTTGAAGGAGACCAATTTTCCTCCACAGTACACAAAATCGGTTCTGATGTTTCCACATTTGGGTGCCTTGCAGCCAGTTTCCTGAACATCTCCCAGTGGTGAACAACATCTTTTAAGTCTGAAGAAGACATATGGTCATCACTTTCCTTTTCCTCCTAACCACTCTGTTTCTAGCATCTCATCCAGTTGTTTCAAATCTTCAGGAGTAAGTTCCTGCTCATGAGACATCACAAGCTCTTCAACATCATCATCCTCCACTTTGAGTCCCGTCGACTGACCAATGGACACAATCTCCTTGTCCAACTCCGTTTCTTCCTCAAATCCCTCAAAATCATGGACTGCTGTTGGCCACAGTGCTTTCCATGCAGAATTCAGGGATCAAATGGAGACTTCTTGCCATGCTGACACGATCAATTTTACAGCCTCCAGGATGTTGTATTGTGTCTTCCAAAACTGTGCCAGTGATGGATCAGGATCAGTGGAAGTTGGCTGATGACATCTTCTGAACATTTTCTTCATGTACAGCTTCTTGAAGTTGCTGATTACATTTTGGTCCATTGGCTGCATAATTGATGTAGTGTTGGGAGGCAAAAACAAAACTTTGACAAAGTCAAATTGCGCCTCCAAAGTGCTGGCAATTTCAGGTTCATGACCAGTGGCATTATCCAGAAGGAGAAGAGCCTTTAAAGGAAGTTTATTTGTGGTGAGGTAACTCTTCACAGAAGGGCAAAACACCTCAACAGCCCATTCATTGAAGAGATGTCTCGTTACCCATGCCATTACGGTTTGACTTCCAATAAACTCCAAGTTGTCCTCTTACCACCTTTTGTTGCTTGAACACCCTGGGGTTCTCAGAGTGGTAGACAAGCATAGGCTTCAGTCGGAAATCCCCTGAAACATTGGCACCAAGCAATAGAGTGAGACGGTCCTTCATGGGTTTATGCCCCGGTAAAGAAGCTTCATCTCTGGTGATGAATGTCCTTTTGGAAATTTTCTTCCAGAACAGCCCAGTTTCATCCACATTAAAAACTTGCTGTGGAAGATAATTCTCTTCATCCACCAGTTCCTTGAACTCCACTACAAATTTTGCTGCTCCTTCTTTATCTGCACTGGCAGCTTCACCATGCCTAACAACACTATAAATGTCACTTCTTTTCTTAAATTTATCGAACCAGCCCTTGCTGGCCCTAAACTCTTCAAACACAGTTTCAGAAGAACTAGGTTGATCTTCCTTCAAATGTTCATATATTTCCCTGGCTCTTTCACAAATAAATTCAGTAGAAATGGAATCTCTTTTCATTTGTTTTTCTTTAATCCAAGTAAGAAGTAACCTCTCTGTTTCTGCAATTAATGATCTACCTTTTAACACTGGTAGATTTATCTTTTACTTTTACTTCTTTAAATTTTTCTTTCTGCGCAAGAATTGTAGACACAGTTGATGCCGACATGCTATATTCTTTACTTAGTACATTTGTTCTAATGCCTTCTTCATGTTTCTTAATAATTTCCTATTTCACTTGAATTGAAATTGCCTTTCTAGATTTC